CGAACAAATACCTACGTTCTGATCGGGTTTTCCAGAGGAAAAGTTGATTATCTTGGAAACAAAGTAAAAATAGCTCAGTCTAGATAAATGTTCAAACATGATTTATCTTGTAGAACAATTCTGATATGGAATTATTAATGAGTTATGTCATTTTAGATCTTTGATGAAGTGTTAGAAGATTGAGAAGTCATACAGTGAAAATGTCGCTAAGGCCGGTCGTCCATTTAAAAGACATTTGTTTGCGCGATGTCTCCGACAGGTTGTCGACGTGTCTTTTTGATATAAAACGCTTACTTTTAAATAAATCCTCATCCATTAATCGGACACATAGCAAACAAGTCAAAGCATGTCTACGACAATTTTCATACGACACTGCTTGCTCTATTGTCGGGCAACATTTGTCGTTTGCTTTCCAGACCGAGCTTTTTTGTTCTAACGCGAGTCCAACGAAATAATGCTTACAAGTGAACGAGCTCGAGAATTTTCTTGCGACATTTGTCTTCATTATTCGTCAGAAACAAATTGTCGGCGACATGTCGCGTTAATAAACAATCGGCCTAATGTAGATTATACGACAGGAAAGAATATACAAAATTAGTTCTGTTGTAGATGCGATAAAACATTGAAGAAAACGTTGTTTATTAAACTAATAAAAAGAAAGAGCGTATTTTTGAAAGGCGATACACCACTTCTGAGAATACGTCTTTGGAATACGTTACTCGACACCCGGTGGCTTTTTACTGCGACGATGGAGTATCTCGTCCTCTAGTTTTCAAACGGGCATTCCTTCTGGCCCGCAGGCGGATATGACGAATAAATTGCTATTGGTATTGCCTGGCTCGACCTTGAGTTATAAAACAAAATTATAAATCTGAATAATATATTTTTTCTACTGACATTTCATAATACGCTATTAAACGATTAAAATCTGTATCATAATGAACTTCATTAAGATACAGATTTTCATTATAATACTCATTTTTAATATTATACAATGTTGATAGATGGCAGCACTAGTTAAGATATTAAACATTTTAAACGGTAATTTTGCATAAAACAATTATTTTGATAACTATAGTGAAATTATTTAAACAGTGTATGCACGTGATCAATGACGTCGAAATTATTGCCAATTGCAGTTTGTGGGAAATTAAAATTCGTTTCAAGCTGAGAGCTCATTCTCCTTCCAATTTAACCTTAGTTAAAAAAAGACAGCACACTGTTGGCATTTAACTGAATCGGCCGATAAAATGACATTTAGATTGGCACTCATGGGTTATGTTGCCAAATATTGCTGCAAATCTGCGGTTACTGATTTCAATAATTTGAAATTATTTCTATTTGTGTATCTATAAAATGCCAAAGTCATTGAATAGTCAGAGTCAGAAACTCGTTGTGTCTCTAATTAGTTTCTTTAAACAGGAACGAGATAATAAAAGGGGCCCCTTTTTGCCATTAAATAGCGTTAGAGAGGTGAAGTATATTGATACTATCAAATATAAATCTTCTGGGGCTTTAATTGGGAATATTTTTCCAGCGTGTTGCAGCTGCACTGAATATTGGCATAACCACTGTGAGTAAAATCCAATATAAAATCTCTCAAAAAGTTCGGGATAATTTAGCGTTAAATTCACCAGAGAAAAAACGTCCACATAAGAAGCGGGTTACGAATCAAGATCACCTTGATGTTAGCTCTATTCGCAACCAAATTTACGACGAAAAGTAGTAGTTTTTTTAGATTGTGTTCATAATACACTATCTATACATATAAAAATCGATGTTTGTTTGCTTTAGTGATAACAAATTTTACTAGACATGGTATGTCAAAGTAAAACGAAAGTTAAAAGCGGCAACATTGCGACGTGCTTATGTCATCAATTTTGATCACGTGCATACACTGTTTAATTATTTTCACTACATAAGAAAGACTCCGAATTGTTTAAAAATTACCTAAAGTTTGGGACGAAGAATAATTATTATGGAAATAATGAATGACAAAGAAGAATTTTTACTTTTTTCATTATTATACATTGTCAATAGATGGCGCCACCAGTTAAAAAAATTTGATTTTTTTTTTGAGTGTTGGCAGCACTCTGTTTAAAGCTTTTCCATGGTAATTTCGCGAAGAACAATAATTTTATTAAAAAAATTACCTCAAATTGTTATTAAAAGTTAATACCTAAAGTTTGGAAAAAGGCATTATTATGGAAATATTGAGTGATAACGAAGAATTTTCACTAACACCTCCAGAAATTACAGAAAGGGCGACAAATGCAGGTAATAATATACTACCGGACAAAACCAAGAAAATTTACGAAAAATATATGGACAATTTTTGGATTGGAAACACCAAAAACACATCGTCCTTCTCAGAAAATGTTTTGATAATATATTTTGAAGAATTACAACAAAAAATTAAACCTTCAACTGTGTGGATTTACTCAATTATAAAAAAATCTCTATTCAAACTTAAGCATAATGTTGACATATCTAAATATCATAAGTTTTATCAATGGCAGTAGAAAAAATAGTGTATGCAACTCTCATGTAATGGCCATTAATACACTCGCATGTTATATACGAAACTCGCCTGCGGCTCGTTTCGTATCCTACAACATGCTCGTGTATTAATGGCTATCATTTCATGATCATTGCATAATATACTAATTTTCTACTGACATTTCATAATACGCTATTAAACGATTAAAATCTGTATCATAATGAACTTCATTATGATACAGATTTTCATTATAATACTGATTTTTAATATCATACAATGTAGATAGATAGCACCACCAGTTAAGATATTAAACATTTTAAACGGTAATTTTGCGTAAAATAATTATTTTGATGACTATAAAAAGGATTTCGAATTGTTTAAAAGTTATCTAAAGTTTGGGACAAAGAATTATTATTACGGAAATAATGAGTGATAAGGATGAATTTTTACTTTTATCATTATCAATAGATGGCGCCAGCAGTTAAGAAATTTTGAATGCAGTGTATTGTTTATCCTGTTCTTTGATGGGCATCTGATGATAGGCACTTTTCAAATCAATTGTGCTAAATACTTCATATTTCGAAATCTTATTGACTAATGTTTTAATTTTTGGAAGCGGATAGGCGTCTAGTAGAGTAAATTTGTAGCTGGTCTGTGAGTAATCTATACACATACGTCGTTTGCGATTTTCATTGTGAGTGACTGAAAACTTGAGCTCGCCATGGAGAATTGCTTTCTTCAATAATATTTCCTTCGAAAAGATTCTTGATTTCCTGCTTTATAAATTGTTCATCCTCAGCTGAGTGTCTGCGTGATTTGGTCTACAATTGTAGTGAGGTTTGAAAATAAGCATGGGGGTTCAATTTTTGCTTCCACCAAACAGCAAATTGATAAGGGAGGTTGGTCCCCTCCAAACTGAACTTTTACACGACAGTGCTGTTTTATGATATCATGACCAATTACAAGATCGGCACACAGTTAGAAAGTACAGATATTTTGTAATTCCTGTATGTTGACTCCCACAAATCGATGTCGACTAAGCAGTAACCTTTAATAGGAGAAAAAGAAATTGAAGTCGTCATTAAAAATTGACCTTGGCTATAGTCCAGGAGGCAGTGAAATTTTTTAGCACTTATTTTCCCAGTTGGTGTCTATTAAATAGTTTGTTCTCCTGGTGATACAAAGCAAGAATTTTTGAGTCTGGCTAAAATTTTCGGATAGATCAATGAAAAATACAAGTATGCCTATTTTCCCAGACATAAATATTTCACATTTACTACAATAGAACATAAAGTATATGGAAATAGCAATTTGGCTTATCTCAGATAGTGGAAGTGAGTCTGGCTGAAAATTTTCGAATCTTCAATTTTTCACTTGCCAGACATATTATCCATACTCACAAATTAGCCGAACTATTTTTTTACGTAACTTCAGTATCCTTCTCATTAGTAGACCTATTTTTATCACTCAGAAAAAAAAGAGCCGTGCATTCGTAAGCTTTAACGCATTTTGCGCCTCAACCCATCGGAAAACCCCTCCGAAAAATATATGTATTTTGCTTAGAATTACTAACCCTACAATTCTATCCATATTGTCTGACTGGGAAAATAAGTGCCGAAAATCGTCACTGACTCCTAGACTAGAACCATACGAATTTTTTAATAATACAACGGTCGAAATTTGATCGTGGCACCATCTAAGACTAGGATTCAACACTAAACAGCATTTTTGCAGTATTTAGTGATGACCATCTAATAGGCCGACCAAAAATCAGTTCGTTGGGAAAACCCAGCACTAAACTTGGATTGGTTTTCTTTGCTTTCTAGCCATACTGACGAGACTTGATCGGTCGAAACGCGTCTATCCGTCTATGGATGGAATAGCAGAGAAAATTAATCCAAAACTTTCTCATTATTTAATAATATAAGGAACCTGAACCCATCGAAGGTCAATGCCAACGGCGGGTCATCGAAATTGCTATTATCAGCGGTCACGCACCGGGGTCGCCGAATTAATATAAAATATGATTTTTGGAAGACAAAATGGGTAGTCTACAGACCGACAGTTAACCGCGGATAGTTAGTCAATAATAATAGTGCCTTTTAGTCCTGTGATAATTATTAATGCCCATGTCCATACCTGAAATGTATTTGTGGTAAGCTTTATTTTGTTAAATGTACTTGGCTCTAGTTTTGATTCTCACGCCCTCATAACCCCCAGGTACGACAATATATTTGAAGAATTCCATTTTTTTCAAATCAATCACATATAGAGCTTAAACGCACACTATCCAATATAAACTTAACAATAGATGCTAGTCTGGAGTCTCGTTTGATAATTGAAACTTAACAATTTTGCTACCTCCACGTGTCAAACGGAAAGTCGCTTAACTTAACGTCGAACCCAACATAAACAATTCCAAATAGAATCGAGTCTCGACGTGTTTGTATTTGAATTATATTTAGTGCATAGACATATTTCTATTTAGTCTAGCACCCACCTGGCTTGTCGTCTCTGATGGAGTAACGGGGATTGTTGCTCATGTTGATGGGCTGCATGTTTTTCAGCCAAACAATTTTCGGCGGAGGACTTCCGGTGGCTGCGCAATTCAGCGTCGTGGTGTGGCCGATTTCTACTACTTTGTTGTTTTGCGGCGATTCAATTATTTGCGGGAAGCCTGGTGGCAGTTGGTGGACTGAAAAAAAAAACAGTCAATTAACGAGATTGGAAATGAACATTATGGAAATAGCCTTTCGCCAACTCTTTTCCTGATTTACATAAATGACCTCATAGATAAAACAGTAAATCCACTTTATTGCTTTGCAGACGATGGCAATGTAGTCTCCTCACTCATACCACACACAGGTCTTTCCGCACGTGAATTCCACCATCTTAGACTAACTCAAATATCGCAGATAAATAACGACCTGGAGATAATAGAGGACTGGGGTAACAAAAACCTTGTACAGTTCAACGCGCAGAAAACCCAAGCAGCTCTGTTTTCAAAAAAGACCAGCACCGGTGAGCCAAACATCATGCTATCTGGAAGTGCTATCACATTACAGAGTCAGTTGAACATCTTGGGGGTTACTGCAGAGACCAACATGTCTTGGCACAGTCACGTGGCAGATATCGCTAAAAGGGCCTCCCAAAAGCTGGGGGTGCTATTTCGTACAAGACATCTGTACACACCAAGCCAATTGCTGACACTCTACAAAGCCCAGATTCGACCAACTATGGAGTACTGCTCACATATATGGAGTGCAGCACCCAAACATACCTTAATGCTTTTGAATACCGTGCAAAAACGAGCTATCAAGCTGATCAATGACCCCGCACTTACTCGTAACTTGGATGGTCTCGAACATCGCAGATCTGTGGGCGATTTATCTCTCTTCTACAGGTACTATCACGGAAAATGCTCTGAAGAGTTGGCACGTATGATTCCACCGAGAGTAGCACCTATCAGGCGAACCCGTCAAACAGACGGTAACCATGAATTTACTGTCAAACTAGAGGCACCAAGAACCTCATTATATCAGAATTCATATCTCTGGAGAACAGCATCGCTGTGGAATAAACTCCCTGCGACGGTTTTCCCTGCAGGTTACAACCTGAACCGTTTCAAGACCAACATACACCGACATTTCCGCGCACTTGCCGCTTCTCGAGCGTGATAGGACATTTCCTTGCGAGTGCGCATATCCGTAAAAAAAAAAAAAAAAAAAAAAGCCAAAGGTAGGAAAATCAACTTTCTAATCGAATATAATAGTATATTGTTGTATTAGGAGTAGAAGCTTTACTTTTTTGTGCTGAAGCAGTAGCTTTGCGAGCCGAACGTAGTGAGGCTTGCAATACTGCTGAAACACAAAAAAAGTGCTTCTACTCCGTATGCAACACGCTATTTTTCTCCAATCGAATGGGGTAAGCTCGGGGGCAACTGGATGGTTAAGCGGCAGTAAAAGTACGAGCGGCACTAAAAGTACTTTTGCTGCCGCTCCAGTGGCTATAAAAGTACTTCTACTGCCGCTGCGGTTGCCAGGTGTTAACCCGGTTGCCAGGTGTTAATTTCTAACATCTTGACAGGTGCTGACAAAGTGACGTTTTTTTGACGTTTGGAGAAAAATAAAATTTCTAGCCTTCTACTAAAAATTGAATGGTATAATTTATGTGATTTTTTTCAAAAAGATAATGGAAGCAAAGCATATTAGAACCTTCTCCTTGAAAATTGCGGAGATTTTCACGCTGAACTTGTTCCAGCAAGATCAACTTCAAAAGAAGGGATTCTATTTTATGCTTTATGAGCTCACCGGCCGCTTCTCTATATATTCTCATATATACTCGGTAAATTTATAATAATTTGGATTTTGATTCACGAGAATTGTCGTTCGGAATTCGCTGATAGATTGAACAGATATTGTAAGACATTATAGATATTCGAAACAAGAGACAGCCGCACCGATCGGTATCGGTATTTCCGTTTTAATCGGACCTATAATTTAGTGTCCACAATTTATATTTTGGGTATTAGATTTTAATTGTTTTCCATAAATATTGGTGTAGGATCTAATATGGTTTGGCATAGTTAAATTTATTGGGTGACCACTTAAGAAAATATAATTAATATTTTGGGCTTTCTGTGAAATACTATATCCTTTGAGATTTTAGCCGAATATACCGGGTCACCACGAGATAACTTACCTAGTGCTATTACATTTTTGGATTCTACGAGCAATTCTAAGCATATTTCATGCCTAATATAAAAATAATTTTTAGTTCAGTTTTTACAGGAAACAATTGAAGGTGGACTCAAAATAATACAATATCTTCAACTTCTTTTAGAAACACTAAAGAATCCTAGTAGTACAAAAATTTCACTCCCGGATTTGGGCGATGTACTATTGAGGTTATTACTACCATACTTTTAATGGTACCTTTATGCAGTATTTCGAACAATGGTGATGATCAAAGAAATAGCTATTTGAATCCCTTATCCATGGATTATTTAATTTTTTTTTTCATATTATTTAAACTCGTTACATTTCCATTTAAAATAATATGATACATAATAGTAATAAGTATAGTTCTTAAAAAAATAGCTATTTATGTACCAAGGGGATATGTAGATTAAAATGCCCGAAGGCGAAACTAGCCCGAGGGCCTTTCGCCTTAAAATCCCCGTGGTGCATACAAAGCTTTATTTTCTACTCAACACAATGTTCTTTTATCAATTTATCATTAACAAAATCAGTTAACTGTGATCATTTCGTGTCCTTGTAAAGATTTGTTTTAATTTCGTGGGTTAGAGGACAGGACCAAAAAAGAAACTATCAAGCTTTTGGCAACGTTTCGGAATATATTTTTCCTTTTTCAAGCCCTGGAAAAGGGAAATACAAGCACTTAGTACAACAATAAATATACTGTTGTGAGTTAATTACAACTTTTAAGCCAAAATAAATAAATAAACAAAATAGAATAAAATAAATTGTTTCTTTCAGTACTTACTTAAACTATTGCTTCTGGAGTCCGTTCAGGATGGACAAAGGCACTTCTCATCATATTATTTTAGGGGTGCAATCAATTTTTACAAAAATTCGTTATTTTGAATTTGAATTTGAAAGCTAACTGATTTTCACATCTGATTTTGTGAGGTTATATTAGTAGAAGTGATGGGCTGATTAAACATTTTAACCATCGAAATTTCTCTTAGTGATAGGTGATAATTGATTAGACTCCTGTGCGCCGATCCTCTAGCCAGGGAGTGGAACTTCCCGAGAGAACAAAATTTTCGTCTTTATCATTCTCGTTTACTTTTCGATTACGTTGACAACGACAAAACATGCGTTCTATCGGGGAGCTCTACTCCCTGGCTCGAGAGTCGGCCATCTGAACAGAAACCATTTGAAAGGGAACATTTGCAAATTATTTCAAATTCAAGCAAGAAATAATTGTTAATTCGTTTCAGAAAGAAACTTTTGTCATTATTAAAATTATTGCATAGCATTCAAACTGAATTTAAAATAATAAAATATGAAATTTAAAAGCTTTAAAATATGTGACCACTAAACTTAAATAACAAACCAATGTAACCAGTACCAACGAGGAAAGCATACAAACAAATTTAAAATTAAAAGGAAGCTACTACATGTGATTAAAGTTCCCTACAATTAGTTAAAAACTAAGTTTGTGTAGGCAAACATAAAGAATAATAAAATAAAATAAACTATTGTCACAAACAAGGGTTTTCCAGTGGCGTAACTACAGGGGGGCCTGGGGGGGCCGGGCGTCGCTAGGTCCCCCCCCCCCAAAAAAAAAACTTTAATAATTTGGTACTTTATAAAAGCTACGTTACCTTTTATAATTTTATGTTATTACCTACTAAATTTGAACGCTAATGCACGGCGATCCTAATCGACCCTATCCGATCCTCCGATCCACCAAACTGCGGGCTGTCTGCCATTATGCCACCCTAAGGACAGTGCAAATTGCAATGTGCAGAAATGATACAGTATACCAAAGCCATTAAATTAGCATTACCAATATAACAGATTAGTTTGGGAGTTTGACTAAATATTTTTCCTGTGAATCCGTGAATCGGTGTTGCTGATATACTATACAGTGGCTGATAAGCTGGGTTAGCTAGGTAAGTGATTTAAGCCCGGTTTAGTCAGCTAATCGCCTATAATTGCACTGTTCTACTTTTTTAAAGATTCCAATAACTCGCAATAACAGGCCCTAAGCCACTGGTCCCAACTACATGGGGGCATTGGGGCAGGTGCTCCCATGAGCAACCTCTTATGGGTGCTCGGAGCTCTCGTAGGGAATGCGAAAGTACAAACGTATTTAATGGTCATTCCGTTCCGTGTAGTAGTATCAGTATGATGTATGTTATTTAAATTTACACAATTTTGTATAAGAATTATACAAGTGGTATTAGTCTTAGTGTGCAAACACAGTGCAAGCAGGTTTTTCGCTTACTGGTAGGCAGCGCCGATCTGCGCAGTTTTCTCGCGCTGAGATAGCACAGGGTGAATAATTGCAAAAGAAAGCGAGAAAATCTTTATAGACTTCAAATCTGCCACCTGCCAAGTGTGTCTCATCTCGTCTCGAACTTCTAGCCTAGCAAATATGTCATCTTCGGATGATGATGATTTGATTGATTGCCCTAGATTCTGTGCATACTAAATTGAAAAGAAAAAAAGTTGTTATACATATTCTTAATCGTGAAATAAACCTGTATGGAGAATATTATTTCTCTCCAATATTTGTCGACTTCATTTCGATTGCTATGCTGCTTATGCCTTTTGTCCCAAATAGGGGTGTTTTCAAAAATTGCAGCATTAGTAACTCCTTATCCATTACAAGAACTGAAAAGACACTGCCGCGACGCGTGCAAAAGCAGAAATAAACTAAATTTTCATTCCAGTTAAAAGGAGAACGCTGGTTCCCGCATCACCAGCCTCTACCTGCTTTTTACTGTGTTTTAGCCGATTTAAAAACATGCATTCATTTTTCGCGCCTATAAGCGCGAGTCAGGGCTGGTGGCTGGTTACCGGTA